CGCGGGGCCGCGGGGCCCGCGCCGGGAGGGTCCGCGGGGCAGGTTCGCTGGCAGGAAAACGCTGGTAGAAGTCCTGTGGTGTGGCTTCTGCGGGGACAGTGGGGGCGAGCCTGGGAACGAGGTCAGGCCCCGGGGGCGGGGCCCCAGCGACTCGCGGGATCGGGTAGGGAGAGGCCAGGCTGCAGGGGCGGGGCCTCAGCTTCTTTGGGCCGAAAGGGGCGGGGGTCAGGCCTCGGGGGCGGGGCCTCAGCGGCTCAGGGGCGGGGCAGGCCGGGGACCCGCCGAGGGAGACGCGGGTCTCCACGCCCCGGGCTCTGGCTGCCGCTGTGGGGGACCAGCCGGGTGGCCCGGTGAGGCGACGGGAGGCCGAGGCGCGGGAGCCGATTCCCTGCGTAGGCGCGATACAGAAGCTGGCTGGAGCGCTGACCCGCAAGGCGGGGAACTGTGGAACTGGAACGGGGCCCCTGAGCCTTGTGATCTGGGAGCTTGGACACCCGGGGTGCAGCGCCCGGCGCCCCCCACACAGGGCTCCCCGGCCACTCACCTGCGGCCTTGAGCGCGGCTGCCTTGAGGGTGGCGTACTTGGTGTAGTCGGGCTGCAGCGTCATGCTGCCACCGCCCTGCAGCCTGGGGCCACGCAGGGGTCCCGGTGTTGCTGACCCCAGGGGCACGTTGTTGGGGCGCTTCTTGTCTGGAGCGGGGAAAGGGAAGGGGAGACCCGGCCTGCTGACTGGGGGACACTCTCCACCTGCACTAGCACTCTTCACTGTCCTCTCCCCAACTGCAGTTCAGCGAGAGCTCGTGGGGGGCGCTACTTGAGGGAGACTGAGAGAGGAACCTAACTTGACAGAATCTCCCGGCCTGGAGCAGGGGCCCGGCTCCGAGTAACATGAATGACAGCAGGCTGCCCTGAGTGGGTGCCAGCCCAATGGATGACTCCCCAGCATGTCCAGCTTGGGCCAGGCACTGAGTCCCAGGACGTGCTTCTCAGGAGACGGAGCTAACGTTGGAGCATTAGAACCCACCGAGGGGAGGGGAGGGGGCTTGCTGTGAAGCCTGCCTCACCAGCAAGAGGCCAAGAGGGAGGCTCCAGCCTGGAGAAAAAGGCCCAGAGGCGTCCACAGGCTGGTGCCAGGCAGAACCCTCCCCCGACAACACCCCCCCCCCCCCCGGCACGGAGCCAAGTCCTAGAACCACAGCCTGAGCCAGGGAGCCCTGAATCTGGAACCTTCCTCACAGAGTCCCTGTGACTGGAAGTTGCAGGACACATCAGCAGGTCTCCCTTCACCAGGGGAGCTGACCGGCTTGCCCAGCCCCCACTCGCACACCTGCAGAGGCCGGCAGCTCCTTCCAACTGTGAGACAGTGAGCTAAGAGCCTCTTCCCCCCTCAGCACACACCTTCCCCTGCTCCCAGGCCCACATCAGACAAGGGAGTCCCTGTGCTGTAGGTCGACCTATGCCGGTCCCCCAGCTTACACACCTGTGCTGTTGGGGGAGCCCCGGGGGAGGCCATCACCCATCTGCACCTGCACACAGCTACCCAGAGGTGGGCCCAGGGGTGGGGGCAGTGGCTCCTGGGAGTCCGGCTGCTTCAGAAGTTCTGTGAGTGTCCTGTGGGGAAAGAGGGATGAGAAGCAGCCCTCCCGACCTCCTGCTTCCCCACTGGCCAGGCCCTGGCCTATCTAAGGCCAGCAGCCACCACTCTGTCACTCTTTTGACCTCTCTGGGCCTCTGCCCTGCGGTTGATCTTACACATCTAGTTTCCACATCTGGTTTCCCCAACCTGGCCACTTCCAGAGCAGGTCAGGAAACTCTAATGGGGTCATGTGTGGCCAGGACTACCTTGTTTTTCAAAGACTCCCCCGCTCCCAGAGTCCATTCTCCAAGACCCATTCGAGTCGAACCTCCTCTCCCAGTGAAAGCTCTGCAAGTGTATCAGGCTCCTGGACTGGGCTTGTGCTGTACCCCGTGCCGACAACTTTCCTCCATCTCCTTCCACAAAACTCCTACTCATTCTTCAAACCCCACCAGAATCCCTCCTCTTCCAGGAAGCCTTCTTTACCTGCCAATGTAACTCCCTTCCTGCAGCAGGGGCTTCTGCTGGGTCCTGGGACAAAGCTGCCACACAGGCACGGAGGGGAGGACAGACAGGTAAGGGGAGGGAGGAGCCAGGAGATCCCACAGTGGCAGCCCAGCATCCAAGACCATGTGACCTTGGGCAGCCACCTCCCTGCTACCAGGACACCCAGCCCCACCCAGGTGTGACAGCTTCTGACTGAGCCTTCCCTGCAGACAGCCAGACCCAGCCTCCAGCCCAGCTGCCTTTGGTGCCCAGAATCCATGATTTTCTTCTGGCGCAGTCTGACCCTCCCTCCTGGGGCTGGGGCCTCAAATGGCTGAAGCATCAAGAAGCGCCCTAGAGGTGGGCCCTTTGGGGTGGGTGCTGTTTGGCTGCAGTGTGGCAGGATGTGAATGCCCGCCTGAGCGGATCTTCATGCCCTGCCCGCTCCTCCGCTGCCCGGCCCGGTGGTCCCAGCTCTGCGTCAGTTCTCCCAAACACCTGAGTGATTTTCATGCCTCTGGGCCTCTGCGCAAACTTTCTCTAGGGACAGACTCCAGCTCCTCTGAGCTTGGAGGGGAGCTGACCATCAACCTCAACACAGCGGAATTAAGGGTGAGACTTTGGGGGAGGGGGGCAGGGGTTCAGCACACACCCACACATGAGCTTAAGTTGGGCTCCTGATTCCCCAGAGGAGAAAAAAGAGGGCACATGGGAGCTGAAGCCCAGACAGAGGAAGGGACTGGCCTAGGCCACACGGCACATCACGGGTGGGCCAGCCCGTCCTGATGCATCACCAGGCCTGCTTCCCGCCCCCTGCGGGTGAAGTGGGCTCCAGGCGAAGGTGTCAGCTAGGTGGCCCAGCCTAGAGGTGTACACACCCTCACGGCCCTCAGCTCCAGCGGCTCCGCTCTAGTCAAGGACATGCCCTGACTTCTTGCTCAGCCTGAGGGACTCCAAGCTCAGGACCTGCCCCCACGGCATCCAGGACCCCGGATGAGAGCCTCCACATCACCAAGACAGCACAGCGGCTGAGCCCAGGGTTCCACTCCCGGCTCTGCCCTGCAGCTGTCTGGGAGACAGGGGTGCTGTGGAGTGCCCGGGAAGCCCTCATCCCCTGCCCCTGAAGTCTAGGAGGCAGGCAGCCTCCATACCTGGCCTACCCAGGCTTGGGGGCGTCTCTATTGTCACCTCTAAATACCAGCCTGTCGCACACCCAAGGGAGCCCAGACCTGGGCGAGGAGGGCACAGGCTCCAGAACATGGGGTGGCTGGGGGCATGTGAGCGTATGAGTGCGGGGGTGGGCGTAGAGTTCCAGGGTGAGGACACAGAATCCCAGAGTCCCCATTCGAGCTGAGACCCCACTTGTAGACCCCACTTCACACAAAGCTCAGACTCAGCTAGCACTTGTCCTGGCCTCCGCAACAACGAATCTGTGTCCCCCACATTTCCAGCGCCTTCCTACACAGGGAGAGACCCTGACCCCTGTCTGGGATGGGGTGGGTTGTGTATTGAGTGGAGCGGGTGGGGGGAGGCCTTCTCTCCAGGGAAAGAAGGTCAGGCCTGAGTCACAGTTATGGGGGTGGGGTGGAAGGCAAGTGGAAGGGTGGGGGTAGTGGGGAGAGAAGCAGGAGGGGAGAGACCCAAGAGAGCTACAGAAAATGCCCCTTCCCTCCCTTCCCTACCGTGGGGGCCTAAGACACCCACCGCTACATCAGCCTACGCCCCCATCCCGCACTAGTGGGTCTCGGGCCCCAGGCCCTCTCTCTTGGGTGCGCGGTCTTTGTGCCCTCTGTCCGGGGCGACCAGCTCTCCCGCCCACTCCGGAGGAGGAGGGAGCCGCGGGGGAGGAGGGCTCAGCACCCAGCTCCCTCCGGAAGGTCAAGGGGAGACGGTATCAGCTGTCTCCCTCCCTGAAGTGGGGGTGGGGGGAGTAACAGACCTGGAGACAGAAACAGGAAGGAAAAACCAGGAGGAGGGGGCTGCTGAGAGGACCAGAGTTTCCAGACGGGCGAGAAGGATGAAGGATGGCGAGGGGGCGCCCACCGGTCGGGAAGGACCGTCCAGGCGGGGCGGGCGGAGAGGGCGGGGATCCCGGCCCCGGGGCCCCGGCTGGCGCGCGCTCACCTGGTCACGGT